TCTTATCATAGATATTGTACATGTATTAGCACAGTTATATTCACTTTCAAATTGACCTGTTATAAATAATGGCATAACCAATAACTGTCTTAGCCCTTTTTTAAGTTAAAAAAATTTTAAAAATTTTATAAAATTTTTTTTAAATTTAAAATTATTTAAAAAAAATTAAAAAAATTTTTTTTTAAGATTTTTGGTATGTAAGGGTTTTTTTCTTAATTTTTTTAATTAAGAATTTAATTATCTTTAATTTTAAAAAATTTTAAAAAACTGTCCCCGGGTTTAGAAAAATTTTTTCACTAATTTAGGGGGGGAAAATGTTGGGAAGGGGGCCAAGATGCTCAATAGCTACAGCCGGGGGGGTTTCATTTTTTTCCTGTGGTCAAGGTTTGGGGTTCTGGTTTAAGCTGAAAGTTTTTTTCATCTTGTTACCGGGCCAAAAACCAAAAAGTTTTTTAAATTTTCTATGCCCCTGTAAAAAAAACAGGGAAAAAATTAAATTTTTCCCTGGAAAACAATATTTGTGGGGAAAAAGGGAGGTTTTTGAACCCGTTTATTTTTAAAAAAAATACCCGGCCGGAAAAGCTCCAAAATTGGGCTTTGAAAAATCATGGGGTTGGTCATGGGCAAAGGGAGTTTTAGTCAGGGTTTAGAAAATGGTTTTTCAACTTTTACCATGTTTGATTCATTTAATTTGAGCATTTAATTTGGGAAAAGGACAAAAGGGAGTTATTCGTTATCCCTTTTTTAAACACAAAAACAGGGCCCGGTTTATTAACACTATACTCCATTTAAGAATTTTTTTTTCTTTTCATGGAATTCAAGCATTTTCCTAAAGTTTAAAGACATTCTTTGGGATGGTTCAATTTTTATTCCCGATTTGCACTGGTGATGTGGCTGGTACTTTCCCTTCCCCTCTTAATACCCCAAACGTGTTCCCCCCTTGGAATTTTTTTTAAATTTTTGTTCCTTTTTTTTTTGGTTTTAATATATGTCAAAAAGACATTCTTCAACCCTAAAGCAATAACTTTTTTTTTATTTGCACAGGCACAAGTATCAGACCTGGGAAGAAAAAATATGACCAGATTGATAAAAAAACCTGTGTTCATCTTAAAAGTGTCACAAACCAAAAAAAAAATGTAAATGATGACCCCCTTTAAAAATATACTTAAAGTTAATAGTATATTTTTAAAGGGGGTCATTATTTACATATTTTTTTGGTTTTTGACACTTTTAAGATGAACACAGATTTTTTATTAATCTGGTCATATTTTTTCTTCCCAGGTGTGATACATGTACTTGTGCCTGTCATTATATGATGATGACTCAGGTATCCTTGTATCTGGTAAAGTAAATCTTAAGATTGGTTTATTGACTATAAATTGTCTTTGCATCTTGGCAAGACAGAGTCTATTCTTTTTGGTTTAAGTTTCAACATAAACTGGGCCAAGCCTCCAGGTCACATGAAATGGTACTGCTATAAAGTACACATCTTTTGTTAAGTATTTAGGTGCAAACCTGGATCAAATTCTTTTGGCGTCGCCCTTTGATGCTTTGCATCAATGCTTTTCTTGTTTTTCAATTGATTCGAATTAGCTATTTGAATCTTAAAACAACGATCTGTTGTGTTTTATTTCTTATTTCCTAATGAATGACTCATTAGTCTTTCATTAAAACATACTTTTTATGGTGTTTTCTATATTTTAATACCTTTATTGTTGGCTTTTCATAACAAACTATCAAAAGGGAATAACAACAGATGTCTTATTTTTGCTTGCTGATTTTTATCAACGTCATCACTATTGCTTATTATCATCATTACTATTACCCATTATCATCATTATTTTTGTTCATTATCATCAATACTAGTTCTCATTATCATCATTGTAATTTCTCATTATCATCATTATTATTGCTCAATATTATCATTACTTTTGCTCACTATCATATCTATTGCTTTATTATTATTACAACTTTTGCTCATTATCGTTGTTATTGCTAATTAATATCATATATATTGCTCGTTATTTTATTACCTTTTTACATTATCATTCTTACTTTTGCTCATTATCATCATTACTTTTGTTCATTATAATCATTACTATTGTTCATTATCATAATTATATTCTTTTGTTCCATTTTTCAGTGAACGTATCATACACAATGCATTATGCCAAACATTATATATACAATTACATTATACAAGATTATAACAATATACATGCACAATTAACTTTTCGCTAAACATTAACAGTATATATGAGCCGCGCCATGACAAAATCAACATAATGGGTTTGCGACCAGCATGGATCCAGACCAGCCTGCGCATCCGCGCAGTCTGATCAGGATCCATGCTGTTCGCTTACAAACCCTATAACAAGTAGAGAAACTGATAGCGAACAACATGGATCCTGATCAGACTGCGCGGATGCGCAGGCTGGTCTGGATCCGTGCTGGTCGCAAACCCATTATGTTGGTTTTGTCGTGACGCGGCTCATATATAGTTCACTCATGTGTTGTGTCTATTCATGTTTTACAACAATAAACGTGTCAATAGATTTAGCTAAAGAAAAAGTGACCCCATTTTATTCAACATTGAACAAACAAAATTATCCCTTCCGATATTTGGGACTGTTCATATAGGAAAAATCATTTAGTATTGCGAAATAAACATACATTCCCTTAGTCATAAAGGATAACCAATAATTCTAAATGATTGAATTAGTTTTTGTCCGTATGTATCAATTCGTGATGCTGCATTCCCATTTTTCATAAAACTTGCAGAAACGGTATGTATTTTACATAGCTCATGTTTCATGGGAAGAGACAATATCAGTTGCGGTAAATCACCGAATATAAAATGTCATGGTTACAAGTTTTACATAAAAATTAATTTTAACAATTAATTATCAACGAGTTAAATTTCAACGATGAATTGTTAATCTATATGATTCTAAATGAATTGAGGGACTTACAACCCTTTCAAGAAGTACTTGATTCGTCGGGAATGAACGCGTGATTTACCTTTCACTTATCTACAGCAAGGGAATAAAATAACGATCATTCGTAGAGTTGCCGCCAATATGCATCATCAGTCTACAAACATGCATAAATTTTACAATCACACGTCTTATATATGAGCATAAACAGAATGTTAGGCGGTATTTCATTGATAATGAGCCACGCTTTTTGTATTATTGACATAAATGACATAATCTACATAATTAGTATGCATACAGCAGAATAGTTTCATTACGGTGAATGTGATTCCAATCTTAAGAGTATTGTAATTAACATGAATTATTGTGAGTATTCGTTCATCAATATTATATATTATTGTTACATTAAAGTTGTTATAAAATGTATTACCTATCCTTGAATCCTAAAAATTTGTGTTAAACTAAACATAATTCCCTGACATTAACAATCACAAGAAAAAATATAAAGTTGCAAGCAAGATCACATCCAGGAAGGCCTAAAATGATAGACATAACTGTCGGATTTAGATAATATATATGACTTCTAAACGATCAAATAATTTTATCTTATGCTCCATTAACTTTGTCATTTTGTCTTTTATTAATTTAAACCATGGCATTATACGTGTAATTATTGTATAAATAAACGTTTAATAAATATATAAGGGGGATGACATGGAAATTTTAGTAACGCTACTAACAGTTCGCTGCAATTCATGAATACAGAAAAAATAAATATGAGAGCATGTATGTATAACGCTATAGCCTGTCCAACAATTGCAACAATGCGTGTAAATCAAGTACAAGTTCTTTTTTCTAGAACAAAGAACATTTGAACCGTGTCATGACAAAACCAACATAATGGGTTGGCGACCGGCATGGATCCAGACCAGCCTGCGCATCCGCGCAGTCTAATCAGGATCCATGCTGTTCGCTATCAGTTTCTCTACTTGTTATAGAGTTGGTAAGCGAACAGCATGAATCCTGATCAGACTGCGCGGATGCGCAGGCTGGTCTGGATCCATGCTGGTCGCCAACGCACTATGTTGGTTTTGTCGTGACGCAGCTCATTTTGTGGCAATTTATTTATCGACATATGAATAACAAATTACCTGAGGATTATGGCCAAAAATATAAACATTATTCGCTTGCGATCATCAATATGTATACATTCATATGGCTTTGTGACTTATTTCATCAAATGCCTCCTCTCAGCAGAAATTGGCGTTATTTCTAGTCCAAAGTCTTATAAAGTAAAGCTTCAACAGGGCCAGTAGTTCGTTCTTATTTGCGTACGTTTCGATTGTGGCATAATATGTGTTACCTTGTAAAAACATAAGTGTACTGTTTTTCAAATGAATATTAATATATTTTAATGTGTTGTTTATCTTTCAGTGTATCAAACAAAAATAATTGATTATTGAAGTGTTCCATTTTACGAAGCTGCTGTGTGAATTGATGTCTTGGCTGACGTACTTCCAAAGATTAATACAGATATAATATTGAAACATGTAGATTTGGGCTTTAACCTTAAGCCGATATGTTACTTTATGATTTAAACAACATTGTCCGATATTTAATATATCTAGGATACAACTGTCGAGCACTCATCGTGCATCATCTATCCTAAACGATTTTATGTTTTAAATATATTATATTAATTTCATATTAATCTATTTATCAGGCCGGTTACAATATTAAGTGCATTTCCATGTTGTTTACTGTTCAAAAATAATGATGAATATAATGTGTCACGGCAAATTGCATTTGCCTTTCTTAACACCTTATGAACCTTCTTCACATGACATGCTGCTTCCAGATCAATATATATATCAGTTATGTTTCTTTGTTACCAGATTTAAATAGCAGACAGTAATAAAGCGACGGGATATTGAAATCTGGTTCCCTTTAACGAAGGGTAAGTTAAACATCGAATTGCTTTGCAACTCTGCATTGCAGTGTACATAATACATACAATAAAATGAATAAACACCCAGTTTTTGATAATCTTACAGTCGTCTATTGACATGTTATGTTATTACAGGAACAAACATCTATTACTTAAATTTACATTTCTATATACACGTATTTAGTAAAACGCATCAAACAACTGTGTTTTTAATTGATGTGATTGTTTCATTTACTGTGCATAATATTGTATCATCAAGCAAATAGAAATAAAAAACATATGACATAAAAATTTGTCACTGCAATTTCAATAAAATATATGTGCATTTTAGCCAGAATATGTTGAATGTAGCAAGAATCCGGAAAACGTAGAATAAAGATCCTGATTTCCAAATATAGCATCATCTTTGACCTTGTTCTGAACGGAGACCTGATGACCTTTCTGAAGCTGTACTATAACAAACTGGCTCCCCTGGTCGAGTCGTCCGTCTGTGCCTCGGCCATAAGTATCTGCAATATTGACACCGTTAACAACAATCCGACAGAATATCTCGCGACCATTGTAAACAAGAATTGACGTAAAGAAGACGTAGGTCCCAGAAACAGGTGCAGTGAAAATACCACTAAGTGCGTTATATCCATTCCCTATGTTTGTATGAACGCGGTCAAAGGCGATGTTTTGGTAGGCCGGTGCATGTAGTATACTTCTCGACAAACCAGCAGTAAAGGCGACATTCGATGTACTCACTTGCCTTCGTGACCGATGCACTAAAATACAAAATAGATAAAGTTATCTATAATGGTCAATGTGAGCCCCACGAGTTCATTTGTAGCTTAATGCCAAATTAATCTTTCGTAGAAAATATAAATGATCAGTGTAAATATAAAAATCAATTTATTTTTTTTAATTTATCATTATGATATTTTTTTCAATTTTATTCTCATGGGACAGAACGTAATCAGATATGTACTTTGCAAGCAATTGAAACTAATTCATTTTGAAAAATTATACATTTTTTATATTTCAATGTTTATCATTTATAATAATTACATAGGCACTTTGTTAAGTTATTTTTAGACAAATGAACTACATATCATTCTCATTAAGTTTTTGTACAAGTATTTGTACAAGTATAGGTGACAGTGTTTATTTTGTGTAGTTTCTTTTTGTAAAATAAGAAAGATAAAAGAAAAATTGTGGAAACTTTGATATACTGGAGGAACAGGTATGGAAGACATTAAGTTATTAATGTGATAAAAATGATTTTTGTTGAAAACGCAGCAAAATTGCAATGGATGTTTGATTGTGTAATTGTCGGATCAAATGTTTTTTCCGAGGGATCAACTTTTTCCAGATAATTATTTGTGCCGCTGTTTTTCTTCTTATTCATTTCCCTAGCACTAACAAAAACAGGCATACGTTATATTAACTATTGTAAGTCACAGCTAAAACGCATTTGAGCATTTCGTGTGTTGTTTCGGCGCTCTTCAAGTCCATTATTATAGTTTATGGTATGTAGAGAAATAGATGATTTCACTGAACTCATCATTGATTGTGATTTATATTACATTAAGGTATTAGCACCCTAATGCATTACCTCCGCGTTGAAGAGTATTCAAATAGGCTAGAACTACTGTTAACTACATTGAAAATGAGGGCCATGGGTTCAATCCCCAGAAGGGTCAACTTTTTTTTCTTTCTTTTTTTCTTTTAACATCATTTATGTATCTCTCATGTCCTATTTGGAAAGAAAAAAGTGTTTAATTTTGATTTTTTAATTTATATAGGTATTTATTGGCTAAATTATGCTAAATCTAGTAATAAATATGATACCTGATATTTTCAAAGTGTAATAAAATCAAAACTAGACGGTAAAAGTATTTCATATTTTACAAGATCAACCAATATACTTTTTTAAAAATTTAGGGAAACTTTGAAAACAGGCACTCATTTGGGTAAATTTTAAGATTTTTTTTAATTTGGCCCTCATAGTAGAAAAATGGTCAGACACGTGGTAAAAATGGGTGGGGTAGGGTAACATTTTTATACAGATTTCATAATTTTTATGTAGAAACCATAATTTTGCTTATGTGGATTGTTAGCAGAATGGTACTATTTGTTTCTTACCAAAAATTAATGGGAAAACATTTTTCATTAGAAAGTTATTTCATATTATTTAAAGGTTCCTCATTTCTAAAAAAGGGCCCTCATAACATCCTAGCTTGAGTTCAGAAAAGTGGCCATAACTTGATTTCCGTACGGTAAACTTTGTTTAAATTTTGCATACAGGTGTACTTTAAGGTATACATCTGACCTATGATGTCAATTTTTCAGTTCCTTATAGTGCCCATTAGGGTCCTAATACCATAACAAGCTTACCTTCGGTTTTGAGTTTTTCTGTACCAGAACATTCATCTGCGGTACATCGAGTGTTGTTTTTATGCAAAATCGAAATCAGTTCTGACTTTTCTGAAACCTCCTGTTGAAGCATTCCAACCTTTCCTGTATAAACTGATAGTTCCTTCCTCAGATCTAGAATTGTTTGTTCTTGGATTTTATCTCGAGCTTCAAGAGTATTCAGTCGATTATTAAATTGTTGAATCAAATTGTTTAAACTCTGCGAAGAAACTAAAGAATCATCACCTGCCTGGGAAGCTTGCAGAGAGCAAACCATTGTAATCCCAACAAAAAATATACCAGCTAGCTGCAGATGCATTTTTGATTTTGCTTACTAGATTCACTTGGGATGAAGGGTATATAATGCTGAATACTGGTCTGAAACAGTCTCTATCATACCTATGATAAGATGAGGTCAAGCGGTTTAAAATACCATTTGTTTAAATAAATGTCTAACATTAGCTGTTTAAATAGAGGTGGACAAATGTACTGAGATACAACGGTATTGGACATGTGTAAATGTACCTCTGTATCACCTGAAGCACCAACAGGACATTCAAATGTTACTAATTATGATTCAATGGTATTAATAGATACTTTATAAGTAAGTCTTTTAAATAGTGGAATCAAATGTGTTAATAAAACGTTACGATATCTGGTGGGGGGAAATTTCGAAAAATATTATGGACCTTCTTAAACTAAACATTATCTACGAGTGGCATATTTTTTTCAACTGATGTAAAATTAATCAATAATCTTATTAATTTTAGATTTTCCCAATTTAGTCACGTTGCCATTAAGAAGGTGATAATGTACATCATAACGTTAAGGATCTTTTTCACTAAATGTAAACGGCTGATAAAACAATATTTACCAATTAATTTAATTCCTATTTATCTTACTTATTACCTTAGTTCCTTACACTCGTGGTGTTATAAACATACATTCATTCTTGTTTATACCCGTTTTTCGTATTTGTACGATGTTCAGATTGAGAAAAAAATCAAACTTGATACATTTTCAATAGTAGGTACTGATTTATCATGATGAAAAGATATGTTAAAAATATAAGTAAGAGTGTACTGCTCTGAAGGAATTGAGAATGCTGACGAAAGTGAGATACAATACTAGTAGGTTAAGAAAGAGAAAGAAAAGGGCTATTTAACAGTGCCCCATTAGAGACAGCAATATATATTTGGACCAGTGCCCAGTTGTTTAATACATACATCATTATACAGTTATTTCATTGGTATTTGTGAAACAGTCAAAACTGTTGCCCCGAGGTTTCAGGGATGACATTTGGAACTGTTGTCAGAGGCCAGAGGCCAAAGGCCGAGGGTAACAGTTCCAAATGTCATCCCTGATACCGAGGGGCAACAGTTTACTGTTCCACAAACATGATTTTATTTCCTAGTAGTATTTTGCATACAATATATAATACAACAACATACTAATAACATTTTTACAACTGTTTTAATAATTAAAACTAAATCCTTCAGGCATTTGATTTTCCAAAAACCACTACCGTACATTGAGCTGAGCGACGTTCGATAACCGAATAATGGCAGGTTGCGTTAACGAAAATGCCTGATGACAGGGATGTAACAGTTAAAAATGTTGAGCAGTTCTTTTACAGTAAAAATCATATTATTCAATGATATCTGTTCTGCAAAATAACCGTATGTGTAAAACAAGTAAAAGTATTACACCTTCACTAGGCTATCAACCAAACAGATGTTTAACTGTAGAAACTTAGAGGTCAATCCTCTATAGTATAAAATCGTGACTGATAAATGACTGCTTTAAGTTTTGAGCTTTATTATCTTTTTATAGATATAATCTTTGAAACATTATTTGCCGACGATGGGACCAGAGAAGTCTTGCTGTAGGAGAAAACCGGAAAACGTCGTGTACGGTGGAGATTCTCCATGTATTGTATTATCAAGGTTATGTTCAACTATTTGTATAGCAACATCATCACCTTTCTTAAGGTTGACAATCACTGTCTGTGCGCCGTGATCATAATGACCGTCTCCGTGTGTATACACCTGAAAATATATATAGTTACATGTGAGGGATGAGTAACTCGAGTGATTCTTTATTCCAAAATTTGAAGGAGGAATAATTTAAATATATATTTTATGACACAGAATGGCATTTTTTCCTCTTTTCCATTGTAAACGAGAGTGGTTTTAAGCTAAGATTTGTCAACAATACGTCCTGGTTTATTTCACAACATAAGTGAATGTATATACGCATACAAAACTAACAATGAAACAAAAGTTGAACAATTACTGAACTACTAGAAGGCATATTCAACGAGGCAGTTAAGGATTTTTTAATAAGGTATTTATTTGTAATTAATACATGTAGATATATGAAGAAAAAAATATCAATTTTGAGTGCATTCTTGTAGAATTATGCACGATTCCAGCTCAAATCTGCAGGAATGTAATCAGAAAGACCGATAGGCCTGTGGATTAATTACAAAGCATTTTATCGATAAACCGTGCATTATTATACTATAATGCGAGAAAAAAATTGTTTCTATTTTAGCATGCTAAACTAATGAAAGAGAAAAATGATGAAAATAATTGTTGAACTACATTGTGCGTAGATTTAATTTTAGTTACTTCATTTGCTTTATTGATATCAAATGTGACGCCATATGACGTGTAAACATTCGTATTTCATACTGTGTATATACATGTATCGTGTAAAAATGCACTTGATTCTTGATTATACTCTCTGTGTGATAGGGGAATAGTGCAAAACATGAAAGAAAAATTTAATCAGGTATCTTACTTGTGCCTTACGAACTCCATTCACAACAACTTCACATATTTTACGACCAGATATCGTCATAATTGACGTGGTGAACACATAAATTCCCGCCACTGGAGCAGAAAAGACGCCATGATGAGGATTATATCCGTTACCTTCATTGGTCTCTACATGGTCAAAAACGACATTCTGATTTTCGCCCGCATGTTGAATCGAGTGCGTTAGCCCGGCAAAAAATGCAACGGTTATCTCGTTGCTAAACTCTCGCTTCCTTAAAACATTATCTCTGGTTTCTTTAAAAGAAAAACAATGAATGACGTGAGTACAATAGATATAGATTAATACTATTTTCCTTCACAATACAAAAATGTGTATATGATAGTAAAACATAGTAAATAATAAAACAAAATATTGACAAGAAATTAATGTCGAACGAAACATATGCCCCCCCCCTTTCTAGCCCTAGACTCACATCATTGGTTATTTTGTTTTCAATATGTGAAATATAAAGACCCTGACCTTTGAACTAGTGACCCCATTGTGACTAAGAAATATGTGAAATATGAAGACTTTGTGAAAAATAGCTTTCAAGGTAATAATCAGAAACCATATTTATATTTCGGGCCCCTGTGACCTTGACCTTTAAACTATTGATCCCAAAATCAATCAAGGGGTCATCTTTTTTAAATGGCTATTCAATTTGTCAAATATGAAGAACTTGTGATAAATAGTTTTCAAGATAATGAGCGGAAACCATTCTGACATTTAAGGCCCCTGTGACCTTGATCTTTGACCTAGTGACCTCAAAATCAATAGAGGTCATCTACTATAGTTATGATCAATCACTATATGAAATGTGAAGACTTAGTGATGAATGGTTTTCAAGATAATCAGCGGAAACCATTTTGACATTAAAGACCCCTGTGACCTTGACCTTTAATATAGTCATCCTAAAATCAATAGGGTCATGTACTATTTATGACCAATCACTATGTGAATTATAAAGACTTTGAGATAAATAGTTTCCAAGATAATGAGCGGAAGCCATTCTAACATTTAAGGCCCCTGTGACCTTGACCTTTGACTTAGTGAGCCCAAAATCAATAGGGCTCATCTACTAGTTATGACCAATCAATTTGCGAAATATGAAGACTTTTTGATGAATGATTTTCAAGATAGTCAGCGTAAACCATTCTGACATTTCAAGCCCTGTGACCTTGACCTTTGACCTAGTGACCCAAAAAATTAATAGGGATTATTTACTAATTATGACCAATCACTATGTGAAATACGAATACTTTGTGATAAATAGTTTTCAAGATAATTAGCGGAAACCATTCTGACATTTAAGGCCCCTGTGACCTTGACCTAGTCACCCCAAAATCAATACGGATCATCTACAAGTTATGACCAATCACTATATAAAACATGAAGACTTTGTGATAAATAGTTTTAAAGATAATCAGCGGAAACTATGTGGCCTACCGACGGACAGACCGACCGACATTAGCAAAACAATATACCCCCTCTTCTTCGAAGGGGGGACATTAAAATAATAAACAAAAATATTTTTAAAAAAATATGTTGAAAACTGGACAAACGTTTCAGTCCCTGGGTGGTTTACTTGAAAGCTTCTTTACTATTATATCATATTGATCAATTCATTTGGCATCTTATCTTTGTATTTACGATTACAATGTTTAAATGTTTGTTAAATATCTCCTGTTAAGATTTCCATGTTCATTTGGACAACAAAAACACCAAAGGAAAAAACTCGAAACGAAAAAATCAATGTTATCAATAAGTCCTTCTCCTTAAGTGACAGTCCGGTTTACATTTACCTGTCTCGTATTTCTGGGCTGAAGTCGTGAGTTCAAGTATCAGCTTATCTTTTTCAGCCTCATTTTTCTTAAGTTGAACTATTTCCTCTTCCAGCAGGTCGATTTTTTGTTGCTGCTTCCGGTCTCGTGATTCTAGAACGCTCATGCGCCCAACTAGTTGTTGTATGACGGGGCTGGTACCCACTTGATCATCGCTGAATACTTCTCTTGTGTGAAGAGCACTTACTGCTAAAGTCCATAGGCAAAGTATAAATCCACGAAAATACATCGTTATATATAAAATAGAAATAAGACTGATTCTAACTTGATATCCACGGCAAGTCCCTTATCTTTAAATGTACAAATGTATATTACTGATTGAGCATCGAGGTCAGCTTACGAGGTCAGGTTATTTTACACCTGGATATCTTAGATGATTACAGGCGCCAATTTTGACATTTGCTCGTGAACTGAGAATACTACATGTACTAAAAGCGAGAGTTATACTGTGTGCAAGAATGTTTTTAGTGAAAAATAAAGGAAGTTAAATCTTACCAACAATCGAGTAAGATAGATTCACAGACACTATGGATATGGAGCCCCAAATGCCTTAAGATCTAAATAAAATATATTTGTGTCAATGCCAGCACATAAACTTATCTTATACATGTATATCAATAAAACTACATATACGCTGTTTTGAAAAAAAAATCATATTCCAATGTAGATAAATTATGTATAATGGTCACTGCGATTCCCTGGTCTCTGTCAATTTATACCGACTCGGTCTGTCGTTACTTTTTTATCTATATTCATGAGATACGAAAAAAGGAGGTATATCATAAAGGGAAAAGGAAGCGTAACCGTAATTGAAGTGGAAATCGCAAAAATACGTCACTCATTTACCAACCTGCCACGCAGTTGTCCCCTTTGCTTCGGGCCTAGAGGAGTTTGCTCATTTACAGTGGCAAGCGAATTGACAAGACATTTCAATTCAATTTCAAATCAAGTATTTACATTTATATTTGTACTTTTTTACTTTCGAAAGATGGTAGCATCAAATGTAAAATACCTTAAGGAAAACGAATTGTCATTTAAATCAACTAACTTAATTATACCGTTTTTTTATTTAAATTAATGTCAAACCAAAAATTTAAAAAATGATGGTGAAACGACCTATCCACAGACAATGTTCATCAATTGTTTTCTTCATGCTATCAATGTACATAATGTGTATTAAAGATCTACATGATCACTTGAAGAATATTTATCTATACTGTAGTCTAGTAAGTAAGTTCTGATTGGACGAAACTCATTCTGCGATGTTCACTAAATCATTTTATTTCCCGTCCTCTGTGTGAGGCTCTCTCCAATTCAATTTCATTATTTTTTTGTAGATAATATTGTGTTCTTCACTTCCACATTGTGTTTTGTCTCGCAAAAACATGATGCCCAATAGTCCTTATTAAAATTACTGAATCCAAAGCCTTAATTAAATTTAAATTCAAACAACGTAAACATTTTAAATTCTGTATATACTTTAATAATACATGTAGTTTGCAATTTAAATCTCATATCATACTGAAAAATAATAAAATACAACAGAGAGTGAGTATTTGTACAAACATACACATACGGTAAGTTACAATTATAAAATAAAACTGTAGATATATGTAAACAAAAGCGCGTCTTTTATCTTACTGTAGCCGCAGTTTGTATAACATTTACATAGAAAGACAGAAGAACTGTTTTTATGGGTCCAAAAACAACACAAATACAAATATGTGTTCAGTATTACAGGAGTTACACAATTACTTAACGCTAAACGGGACAGTGTTCATGTTATGTGTTATTTTAATTACTTTTTGTAACGTCTGCAGTTTGTGTTTATATTTTAAGAATAATTAACAATACGATCGTAGATTGTACGAAGATAATTCACCGAAGCAACGTTATTCAATATTGTTCATTGTATCACGGTAACGCTTGAACAACGTTACAGATTGTAATTTTCATATGTTTTTTTGCATTAATTTTAAGAATCACCTTTCATGTACCGCCATTATAACGTGTGAAGATATCACTGACATGTCTTCTGTTTGTAGAGTCTCATCATTTCATCAAAATATTCCAGCGCATCCATAGAGTTGTTATTTAAATAACAATGCAAATTTCTATTTAATTCCGCCAAGCTTATGTGTCTAGTCCCCTTTTCAACCCGGCTTCCCACCACTTCTTTATTGTAAGTTTTCTTTAACCTATTCCACCTAAATTTAACTTCACTGAATATCGTCTCTGACCACTTAACTAAATATCGTGGAGCATAGTTCCGGAACATTCGAACTATTAGCCCGCCAAAGAAATAATATATCATATAGCAGACTGCAGCAAATAAAATGACACTTCCGCACGTGATGCTGGCTATTTCCCATCCTGCTAGTTTGTTACCTTCGTCTTTCTTACCTACATCTTTCTTCTTCTTCTTCTTGACATCGTCAAGTAGCAATGAATCTGTTGGTACTGATTTTTTAAATGGGTCTTTTAAAAATGTTTTATCGAGTTTTTCTGCCTTTTCCTCGTACACTGATTTTGAAAGCTTATCGGATAAATCGGTTCTTCCAATTTGTCCAAGTCGAAAAGCCAAATCATCGAACGATTTTCCTTCGCCGTCCGTACGGTCCCATTTTAGCAAGAGTCCAAGACATGGCTTATCTACTTCGTTGGAATCATCTGTAAATTTATCAAGTTCGAATTTGTTTTGATGTAGAGCTTTCACTAACCTTTTACATTCATTAATTTCTAAATGGTCTGCAACCATTTGCAGCTGATGAATATTCAAATCCACAGTACATTTCACCATCAATATCAAAGGAAATAGGAAAACATTACGTTCTACTTTCATGCTGAAGTCTTACATTAAAACGCTTACAAACATTAATATGACGTCAAAAATAATCATGCCCCAGTAATGACGTCACGACTTCTTAATCATGACGTCATTTGCATTATTTTCGATCTAACATTTCTCACTAGTTAAAAATTCGTAAAAATTATTGAAAATAGCGGTGCTGAAAAATCTTATCTCACACTCCTGGGTTCATTCAAAACACTACACATACGCGATATTCATTACTATTTTGACAAAAATGAAACGTCACAAGAGCCAAATGTATCAAAATATGAGAATTAGTCTACTAGTATTAAATTATCCACGGAATCGAAAAAAAAAATATCTCTCACGCTTCAATGAGTCCTACTTTACCTCGGTCAGATATTTTACTTATCGATCAACTGAAAATAGCACACCTTAAAATATGGTGAAATTCTTTGTAAAAACTGATATTATGACACTGCCTAGAAAATATTCATGTGTTTTTTAAATTTTAACGATGCTTCTTGATGTTGCGCAAACGGTAAAGCTCTTTTTGTCCAACATTTAAGTATGAACTGAATTTATCATCAAAACTAATATTATGATCTTTTCCAACTCAAACGTTGATGTATTTTATTATGAGAACCTTGCTTTTTGAATTAATTTTCATTGAATATTTGGTCACATTAACTGGAAGAGAAGATTTTTTTTGCGAACGGTAAAATGCTTTTTGTCAACCGCCAGAAGACCCGCCCTGCTTTTCAAACTTGGTTGCAATGCGCACAAGTATTTTAAATGATTTGTATATTTAGTTTCTTGTGTGTCAAGGTGAGTGAAAAAATGATCAATCGTTGGGTTATCTGATAGAAAAAGGGAAATCCCAACACACGGGCAATCGGTTCCATCGGAACTCGCCGAGGCTCGTTCCCGATAGTACCGATCACCCTCAGATTGGGATTCTTTTTCCTCTATCTAACCAAATGATAGATTCTATTAATCTTAATTAATAATTTTTATATAAAAATTGTTTCATATACTTATTTAAATCGTTAAAATATTCAGAAAATTGCCTGCACTGGCACGGAAATTGCAGGTTAGCTGTGTTGTTTATACGGCTAGTACACGAACGAATTATTTCCTTTGGATAATTACAGTTAAAACTTCGTTGATTCCAAAATGGATAGTAGCTGTATTTGTTTTGCTTTTTTTGTTTTGTTTTGTTTTTGAAAAGGAAATGAACAAATCGTCTGCCAGTTGGCCATTTTTCTTTTTATTTTATTTTTTTCATTTTTTTTTCTTCATTTTTTTTCATTTTTTATCCCTTTACTTTCCCAAGTTAAGGAGCATATGGGTTACTTAAATATTTAAGAAAATCGACCAAAAATAAGGAATATTTACCCTTAAGGGTTTATAAATAGCGACTAAGGAAATTCTTAAAAACAAAGGGAGATCTTACATATTTTAAGGGAAGTCTTAGAATCTAAGAGAAAATTTTCCCTTAGCTTTATGAATGCGGCACCTGGACATCAGTGAAGTTTACAAGCTACTGTTACCGACAGCGTTTAAAAAACCCTATTTTTAAAATCATAATTAGATTAGTAAAATTTATTTATGTTCCTCCTGGAACAAAACACATTTTTTCATGATCTAAATAAAATTATTGTCTAAATGGTGAGTGATCAGTGTGTTACTGGGTTAATTGACAATTTAACTAGAGCTTTCTTATCTGATACTTGTCATTGTCAGTACCCAATGGTAGACCTACCTGAATAAACTTAGCAACCAATACAGGTCATTCCAAATTTAACCATATTTACGCATGCACGCACGGGCACACGCACGCACGCACACACACACTGTGACACACACATGTAGTACACATGTATCAAGCAACAGCTTTTTATAACAGGTCAGTTTTAATTATTTCATAGAAAATGGATGATAAATTGTCCCTAAAATGTCAAGTGTTTATTTCCAGTTATAATTTTTATTTATATATACATGTATATAGAGGATATACATGTATATAGAGGATATGATGGCGTGAAAGTTCAAAATGCCAGTAACATCTTAAGCCAAAATTATCTGGTTCCTTAACCCTTTCCCCCATGAGCATATTGTGAAAAATGGCCGTTTTCACTGAAAAGCCTCTTGTTACAAGTTCAAACTGCTATGAAACTATGAAAAATGCTTCAATACAAATCAAACTTGGCACAAATGTTGACTGGACCATAGCCTTTGTAACGACATGCTCAGTCTTAAATTTCATGTTACCATGGCAACGAGGGGACATCTCAAAATTGCCAAAAATCACTATTTTGCCTCGATTTTTTCCATCAAAATTTATTCAAAGTGCTGCAACTTCTCAAGGGATTGAGATAGAGTCAAAGGCTTTTCAGCGTTGGTTAAACGTTACATTATGATCGACCTGGGGTCATTTTTAGCCTCTCACAAGTCCAAAATTTTCTTGGCGATGAGGTGGACTCCGCCCCCCTTCAAACCCCCCTAACAGAAGGGGGCACATCCCCCTTCTGCCAACCCCCTGACGTATCTTTTGGATGGGGGCGGCGCCGAAAAAGTGCTCAATTTTTTTAGCAACATTTCTCAAACGAAAACTTATGTTTGGGGCCCAAATAGGACATTTTTTCACTATTTGAGACCTAAAAAAAGGGGGGGGGGTCGAAAGTGCGTTGTTTCGCGTATATATGTGGTAAAGGGTTAAGACATTATGACCATCCGTGGATATATACTTCAAGTGGATAGGTAAAAGGCGAAATAAGTCTACATTTTGTTACAATTCCTTTATATGTACAGCACATAGCATGAACGATAAATTGATAACTCATGTGACCCAAGCCATGACTGAAAATTTACCATATTATTCAATTTACAAAAAGAGTGGGGCGGTCTCTTTATATTAAAGGCAGTGTATATTTTATTATCAACATCTTCCAATCTAAACTGCTGTAACATTTAATGTTTTATTTCCTAAATAATTTTAATTTGATGATCAGAACTAGGCCTAAATTGTAAGAATTCAAACGCACATTATATTTTGAAATAAGAATTTTTAAGTTAAAATATTTTGCATGTAAAAAATAACTAAAAAAAACTGTTTATAATGCATCATACATTTATTTACTTTACTATATCACAAGTAACATTGTTTTAACATTCTGTAGGAATTGCAAATAATTTGTCTGTAACAATTAAATCATAATGAAATAGCACAAAATTGATAATTGAGCTGTGTCATGACAAAACAAACATAATGGGTTTGCGACCAGCATGGATCCAGACCAGCCTGCGCATCCTCGCAGTCTGATCAGGATCCATGCTCTTCGCTATCAGTTTCTCTACTTGCAATAGAGTTGGTAAGCGAACAGCATGGATCCTGATCAGACTGCACGGATGCCCAGGCTCGTCAGGATCCATGCTGGTCGCAAACGCACTATGTTGGTTTTGTCATGACAGACTCAATTAAAAGATTACATGTGGAACAGAAAATGGGACATCTGTTTACAAGTGAATTGAAAATTATGTAATATACATGGCAAGTAGGTACCTACAATCTAGAATTAAAATGATGACATTGCGTATACAATAACATAATGTCTATCTATAACAACATTGTGTTAAAGCAATGTTAAATCAATCACATTTAGAGATAAAAGAATCTAAAAGTTTATATTTTCTTATCTTAATAATCACAAAAGAAAGTGTTTGTAAGTACAGATGTTTCTTTAATCTTAAATGTTTGGATTTGTAAATGTAGTTAGATGATTTTGTCACATATTGTATCACTAAAGTAAACACATTTATAATTGTAATACTGTATCAAGTATACCTACATATATTACACTGATCACAACAAATAAGTGCCATGTGTTCATATAAGTGTACCTGTTAATAAAGAGAATCATATAATAAATAATGTCTACAGCAGATAAAGCTTTGTGTTTAAAATAGTGGTCATCCAAGACAGATTTAACTGATGTAGAATTATGACTTCATCATCTGACATAAAGCCTCATATAGTTAAACATAATTGTGTGTGTTTATGTATTTAACAATTTCAAATAATTTCAAAGAACAGTAACAAAAGGAGGAAAAATTAGAGTATATTTAGTTTTGTGATCAATTTTCATAGCTCTATAGTCTATTTGGCATATTTGATATCATACAGAACACTGAAAACTGATCTATAAATATTTAGAAGTCTTTTACAACAAATTCTGTTTTATAAATTTTCAAGTAGATAAATGCATGCCAGCATGCAAGCACAAAACATAACAAAACCTGACAACAAAATGTGAAATGCACATGCACATTACATGTACAATATTTTTGGTTAATCTCCGATGAAAACAAGCATGAACACAAACTATAAATAAAATATATGAAGTAATCAAAATACATGTATAATATTTTCTGTGGCCCATCGCGGCTTGTTGTACATGCCTTATATTTCTGGTTATACTTAAAGAAACATAAAATAACAAAAGAAACAATACTAAAAATATAACTGTGTTGATTAAACACCTTGTCTCAAAGTATAAGTATATATCAAAGATGATAACTTATGGTATAAAGATCTAGAAAGTGATTACAGTAGCCTTTTTATTTCAACAATTATTTCTAAATTTGTCATTTAAAAGTATGTTCAAAGTCCACTAACACATAATGATACTGGATAAAAAATAAACAGAATACTACTTTTTTTCAACTTATAAATATTTGGTCTATTTTTCTTGTCAGTATAAATCAATATAAAACACTGGCAACAAATACCAATATCAACATTTGATCCTTCTATTATAGATCAAGAACATCATTTTCCTATAAATAGATTGTATCCAGTTCTCATACTGGGGGATAAAACTACGTAACTTAAATCACAGAATAACAATTAAGTTTTACTCTCTAAAAAACTATCTTTAATAGTAAATTACCAGTATTTCTGTAAGCATCTTCATAGTGAGACGAACTGGTTTTTAACCAATATCATGCAATTATCTTAAATGAACTGGTCCATCTTTCAATCTTGACCAAACCATATTTTTTTATCTTGAAATTTTCAAATTTTTTATACCGAATGATTAGTGAATGGTTCCGACCATGATCACTGGCACAAATGTGCCAGATAATTTGAGTCTGCACTGGTCACATGGGTAAAATCTGCTGTCTTCTGCAGCCTAAGATTAAACTATTTATTCTCATAAAATAACAAATATGTACCATACCACAACATCCATTTATCTGTGGATTACAAATATATAATATTTAGAAATGCAGCTGTAAATATGTGTTGACATTTTCATTTCCTTATTTATCTATAAAGAATGCAATGGAATAAATTCAACATACTGTAAGCAAATCACAACCAAATATCTTATCTGAGAATTCTGGTACTTTTTTCTACTACAAGTAAAATTTAATTTCAGTAATTCAGAGACTTTCAGTACCAAATGATATATATTCCTAGCTTAGGCTTTTATACCTGAAAAATGTAATTTATATGATATAACTTATAGTAAACAAATAAAGTTTGTTCTTCTCTGAACAAAACAACATTGTGATAAATCTGCTTTTTCAAAAGTAAGCAAAGTGTCTGATATGGATGACAAGCACACTGAAGCTTGTTACATTTATAGCTAACAAATTCAAGAAAACTACAAATCATATGCTCTAATAGTGCTAATGTGAATCATATCTGTTCTCAACTAAAACTTAAGCATTGCTTAATCATTTCAGTAATATTGCAAATACTCCCAATTCTTATTTCAGAATTCTCTAGTGAATCGAAACGCTCAAATCAACATCTGAGATAGAAGTTCTCAGAGAAACATATTTTTGATTGTTTTTATTGATTTCAATGATCTTGGTTCAAGGAGAGGTCATGTGACTGTGGTAGTAGAACATGAGAGCTATGATTACTGCTCCCGGAGTCGGTGCTACTCGGTGCGGATGTTGACAGGTGTAAGTTAATCGGTACAATAGCGGCACCATCATCTGTATCAATCTCCGTGTCACCTGCGGCAGAATCCTCGCACATCACCGTGGCGTAGTCAGGGGGTGGATTATATGCAGAGTCGGAAATTGTCTCTGTAAGTTCTTGTCCGCTTGCTATACTGTCAAGTCTCTCTTCAGAAATGGCTATAAAATACAAACACATTAATCTTTATAATATCTGTAACCATCATTAGAAAAGTAAAAGGAAATCTACCTTTTTTATTGCAAAATTATATGAAGGAAACCAATAGCTATCATTATATTTATTAAGTATTACTAAAACTTTTTCATTGAAATAAACCCAATAGAGATTTAAGGAAAGACAAAAAAAACATTTAACATAGGTAACCATGTAAAATGTTCTCCTGATAATTTATGATATATAGGCATTCAAGGGAAAAAACCAAATGTTTACAATCAATGTCACATTTAACATATAATAGGCCAGACATAGACCTTGTGTAAGCTTTCTTTAAAACATTTTGTCATTATTAATCTTGCACTAAATGGTGTTGCACCCTCATTTTATGTTAAAGATAAAAACTATTAAAATGTTCAACATGCTTTTTCAGACACACACAATATTTTAACAGACAATCAGGACATGTTTGTCTTACAAAGTTTAAATAAGTAAAATGTTGTTAAATTTTTGTTTAGTCATATGACTTAAGTCATCTGTGACCAATGAAAACTCTGACCATTGATGATATGCCATTACAGTGAAATTAATGATGACGTGAATTTAGAGATCCCATATATTTTGCATTGTCCAATTCTTTCTCAATGTGCATGGAAAATTCAAAATTTAAAATTTAAATCAACTAATTTATGATTAAGATTAAGTCAATAACCTTTCTAAAAGTTTCAGTCATACTAACATTGTTGTGTACAGCATCTTTGAAATTTACTTATACAATGACAGGAATAGTGTACACTAAGACAGTACTTGTACTTGTTATAAAATGTTCAAAAGAAACAAGAATGTCATACCACAACAATCATCATCATCTAAATCATAGTCAGGATCTGGCTCTATTTCTCCCTCTGATGTATCTTCACGTTCATCATCAGCAAGGTTCTCTGATGATACTGTTAGATGTGGATATGGTACAGTCAACTCAGCTGGACAGTTACCTTCAACCTCAGGTAGGTCAGTTCTTGGTAACTGCTAATATCATACAATCAATTCATGATTTAGATATAAATTATAATGGTTTAAATAGCATTATTACTATATCTGGATATTATACCTTACTTGACATTGTCATTAAGCCCTCAACTGTAGGCTATTTAATGTATGTAAGTTGACTTGTCAGTCACTATAATGATAAGAAGTGATTTGTACTAAGTCTTCTAACATATTATCTTGTATTAAATGAGCAAGATATATCAACACATAATATTATCTTTCTTCTTCTCGTTCACCGCTACAATCTCAGGCTGGCCACATCGATGAAGGTTGCCGTCTTCTGCAGTTCCTCCATTATATATTATTATTACAACTAAACATTTTCTTACCTCATTAACCATGCGTACAGTGTCTGTCACTTTCTCCTGATCAGATGATGGTGACCTAGGTAACGAGTTATTGTCCCCTCCTCCAACCTTCCGTAATCTAAAATAAATTATATAATAATGTAATTCTACCATCAACCTTTGACATGCTTGCTGCAACTGAGCCTACTTATACTACCAATGCAGACCAAGATTAACTGACACATCCATGCAGTGCCATCATGGTTTTCACTGTTCACTATTTAGTTAATACTTATTTTGAAAAATGCACTAAAATTTGTGAATGGTTTTATTCAGATTGAAAGATAAACTAGACCATTTATTATATTTTGTGTGGTAAGGGTTAAAACCTTCTTTAATTGTTAAATAGAGAAAAACAGAATCCTTAAAGAATGCCCAAAAACAGCAATATGGAAATGCTGCAGACTTGGTCTGAATGAGCCTGTTCATGAACCATAGTGGTAATTGCAAGCTTTTGTCTAGGCCCCCTAACACTGCCTTTAGTAGAATTCAACTGTCATGAAAATGGCAAAATTTTATATTAAGACACATCTGCAGATGTGTTAATTATAATACAGAAATTATCATGGTTACCAAACATTTTTACACTTCTGGATCAACTAAGAACAAGTGCTGCCATGTTGTCTACATGTGAACAAGTACATGTTTACTGCGATGTTTGCAATGAAACAATACATGATCAACTCTGTACATACAGACTGTATTAGACTTTTTGCTGTTAAATGATAATGCTCTAAGTCATCAATAACAAAACTGTTGCAGACTCATATTAAAGTATCTAGTGTTATAAAACTTCTTTATCAATAAACATGTTCAAAATTTTGAAAATTTTGTAAAACAGAAAAATGACCCCACAGTGTTCATTAGAATAAAATTTAATGTTAGTATGATTTATTAGAATGTTCCACTGCCAATCTGAAAAGTACTTTCACAGGAAAATACAAATGTGGTGGTCAGAGACCTGCCTAATGAGAGTGGAACATTCTCTTCCCCCACTAATAGCTTAACTTGAATCTTTTTTCAAGTAAGCTCAAGTGAGAACAAGAAATATGTTTTTACCCCTGTTTTGAGATGCCCGTCCACATATCCACATGTCTTTGTCTGATTCTACCGACAAATGAATATAATTTGAGGTTTGTCAAAAATTACGAACAAAGGCAAATCTATATACCTCCCCTGAAGTAGTGAGGGTTTAGAAATGGGTATATTTTTTCAACAATAACCTACCTTCCAGATCTATTTTTGGGTTTCTGTGCTGGAGATTTAGCAGGATCAGCTAGTGGTACTGATGACTCTGTTTTTGCAGACGTGTCTGTCCGTTCACCGTCCTTCTCTTCTGGAATCTTTTTATCATCTTCACTCATCATCAGTTCCTTCACAGTTTCCACTGGTAAATTACGTCTGCAGTGACAAAGACAATCATTTGTCATACCATGATACCATGATACTTCTATTATATCATCATAATTTATTCTGATTTCATTGTAATATCAACATAATTATAAAGAGGTATTATTGAATGTGAAATAAATTATATATATTTTGCCAAAAAAGCTGTTACATTTACACTATTTTCTTTAAAAATTCCATGACCATGAAGAAAGGAAATATTCATCATTATTGTGTTAAGGCTGCAAAAAAAGTTACAAAGATAATTCAACACTTTCTTAACAGATGTACAATTTGAAAGGCTGTAAAAAAATTGGTCTTACTTTTTGCTGGATCTTCTTTTGTGTCGAGATTCTGTGTCTGTCTGGAATCTTGAAGGAGGGGGTACATGTATTCCTATAATTATATCATACTTAAGTATGTAAACATCAATTTCAAAACCTATATATACTATATAAAAATAACCTATTAATAATAATTCAATTGCCAGATCTATGTTTGAAAAGTACAGCAATAATTTCTTGCATGTCCCAATATATAAAATAAAATGCACTGTTCATAAGCTTTTGTTGTTAATTTATCTACATTTGTACTATTTGCAATACCTTAACATTCAGTATTATAATCAAATATTTATTGGTCAGCTCACCCTCCATGGTGTTTAAGGGAGGTAACCCACATGGTCCATTTAAAGCTTCTATGAGAGATACAGCCTCATATCCTGGTGGAACACCTTCCTGACTTACAGGAGTTTCCTCCATTGTTTGATCCCCAGACTAAAACAACCAATCAATATAGGTGATAAATTACGTGTTATTATAAATAAAAACTAACATATGTATTAAAGAAGTTTAATGCCTAAAATAATCAAAATAATAATATGTCAGGCATTTGACAATAACTGATATGAGCCTCCAATTATGACCCTAAGTGCATGTGTAAAGTTTCAAGTAAATATCTTTGAAGACCTTTAGCCTTTAACCAAAATTTCTAAGTTTCAAAGGGGAAAATAATTCTGCAAATATTGCAAGCAGAGTTATGCAATTTTGCAACCTGATGTACATTGTTACTATAAAAAAGTATTTTAAATTTCAATTGAATATCTCAAGCAATTATTGAAATATTTGACTTTACAAAAAAACTTTAACTGAAATTTCTAAGTTCCAAAGAGGCATAATTCTGTCAATATTGTAGGCATAGTTATCCAACTTGTCAATCTGATGTACCTTGTTACTATAAATAAGTATTGTAAGTTTCAATTGAATATCTCAAGCATTAATTGAGATATTTGACTTTACAAAAAACTTTAACCAAAAGTTATAAGTTAAAAGGGGCATAATTATGTCAATATTGTAGGCAGAGATATCCAACTTGTCAATCTGATGTACCTTGTTACTATAAATAAGTATTGTAAGTTTCAATTGAATATCTCAAGCAATAATTGAGATATTTGACTTTACAAAAAACTTTAACCAAAAGTTATAAGTTAAAAAGGGGCACAATTCTGTCAATATTGTAGGCAGAGTTATCCAACTTGTCAATCTGATGTACCTTGTTACTATAAATAAGTATTGTAAGTTTCAATTGAATATCTCAAGTAATAATTGAGATATTTGACTTTACAAAAAACTTTAACCAACGCAGACGCCGACGCCGGGGTGACTACAATAGCTCTCATATTCTTCGAATAGTCGAGCTAATAAAAACCAACATATGTATTAAAAGAGTTTAATGCCTAAAATAATCAAAATGATAATATGTCAGGCATTTGACAATAACTGATATGAGCAAATAACATTTGACAAGAACAGTTACTGATATAAGTAAATTAAATTATAATACTTGTGTTAACATATTTCTGCTGCTTCTTCAAACAGTATTAAGTTATATGTTTAATTGAAATTCAATTCCATATACTTTATTATGAACATCTGCAACTAATATAATAATTAATGAGGATATATAGAAAATCAGTTAATATAATTTTTGATATTAAGAATGTAACATCCTGCTTACCTGCTGAAGAGCCACCACTTGTTTTCGCCTCATGGCACGGATCTGTAGTAAAGCTCTGAACGGTGACCTACATATAGGACAACTGCTTGCCTGATATCTCAGAGATTCTGCACATGTGCTACACAAACATAAATGCCTACATGGGAGGATAAGTGTGTCTCGCATATCAGACATACATATAACACACTCGGCACCACTGTCTTCAATGTCATCATCATCACCATCTTCATCCTATATATCAATCAAAATATTTCTTATAATGCATAGATCTATCTTATAGTTCAGTAGTGAAAAATAAAGTTAAGTTCATTACTTGACTTGTAACAAATATCAGCCACTGAAAACTGATCAAATCAGAATCAATATATTGTTCATGGCACTAACATTCATTAAATTTGAATATAATTCTTGTTCAACTTCATGTCTCAGCATAAAGGTGTCACTTTAAAAAAGTCACACGATCACTGCAATATGAACAAAATCTACATTTAATATTAAAATGTTTATTATGCTATATTTTATTTTTGAAATGATGATTTTTTTTCTTAAATCACAGCTAGCATGTGTGGGGAACAGTTTGAATTAACTTCTGCTGTCTATCTTCAACTTAATCTAAAATAGAAGTTTTGTCCATTCCTAGTCCTATATAAGGAGAATAATAAGTTTTGTACATATTATTTGAGAAACAATCAAAATAAACAACCTATCTAAATTCATGGGAGATAACTGCAAAGGATATAACAATGCATTTTGATCAAACTTATCTCCCTTGCATGAGACTGATTTTCAAAAGAACTGTCTAGCTTGTAAAGTTGAAAACATTTAGAGCATGCTAAACTGTAATGAGACATGGCCATTTAAATGGTCACTACATTTCTAAAGGAACTTCAATGAGGTCAAAAAGCCTAAAAATATAAAATCTGAAATTTTTACATCGTTCAACTGGGGCACTTAAAACAGAAAAATGTGAAGAAAAAAAAAGAAATATAAACAATAATATTGAAAATAATTGTTAAGTTTGATTCTTAAATTGATTTGAGTTAACAGCGTTTTGTCATATTAAGTTCTTTTTACAGAATATGATTAAAATGGATATTCCAAAATTTTGCACACAAGTTATTTTTGGTATTGATCAACATTGAGACATCTAAAAATCTCAAAAAAAGTATTTCCAGTCCTGTCGTGCTAAGAAACCTAAGTAGAGTCCCTTCAGGAACCATTTATTTACTTTAATTGATTGGGTTTTATGATGCACCAACACAGTAAAGGTCATATGGCGACTTTTCAGCTTTACTGGTGGAGGAAGACCCAAGGTGCTCTCCTGTACATTATTTCAGGCACAAACAGGCACCGGAGAAGAAGCACTGACATTCTGTAAGCTAAGTGGAATGCTTCAGCACATGAAAGAATCCAAAAGACCTGTCGGGATTTGAGCCCACAGCAATGACGGGCAAGTGGTTGGAGTCATCGACATGACCACTCAGCCATGGACGCCCATTTAGAACCATTTAAAACCTTGAACATAAATTTCAAACATCCTATGAAAGTTGGTGCTTTATAATATTTATTAACTCGAGTCAGATGCTGGGGTGCCAAATTATTTGCATATAATGGCTGTGTCCTGTGGGAGAATGGACCCTCTTCTATTTGGAATAAAACTATGTTGTTTACTTTTAAATTGTCAGTCAAAAGTCATTTTCTTCAGAATATCTCCTTGATGCATATCCTCTTATGTTCAATTGTAAAAATAATTTTTATATAAAATTCTATTGTCTTTCTTAACATCAGACTATGATATTCTATTTCAGGCCTGTATGTCAATACCATCAGAGGGGGATCAATCAATAAGAGATTTTGTTCTCTTTAGTTGTTGTTTTATGTTATGTACTGTATTATTGTTTTATTGTTTATTAGATATTGTTTACCATGTTATTCCATAACAATGAAATAAATCTGTCATGAACAATAACTGTGATAAAGCTGGTCAAAATACACTAAATGTTTTATAACATTTCAGTTAAAATGTTGCTAAGTGATATTATTTCCTTGTATTGATTTATTTAGTTATACAATGATATTTACGTATTATTTCATACGTGTAGGAGGCCAATAGTTTAGCCAAACTGTTAAACTGTAAAGTGCTAATATATGGTTTCCACTGTGATAATGGCCACCTTTAGAGTTGATAAACAACTTTTACAATAACATTCTATTTATTGCATTACTTGTTATGAAAGCAGAGATGTAAATAACTAGAAATAATGTATACACATGTTTTAGACTGTGGTTGCTACATGTTTTATATAGTGCAGACAAAAGTTATAATATCGAATATTATATACATTTTTATCTAGTCATCTACATTACAGATGTCAATTATTAAAAATTGAATAATATTTTGAAAATGCTTGAGAATTTTTTTTTAACACATTCATGGAATGCCATTCAGGGCTTAAACATGTATATAATTATATCACTGCCGGCCATCTTGATATCTGTAACAGTCTGTTTTTAACAAATTTTGTACACCAACATTCTGAAATCATTCCTGTTGAATTTAATCAGAGTCTGGCCAGCACTTAAAAGGACTGGTGATATGTCTTTTAAATGTCTATTTTACCTCTGGAGGCCATTTTGTTCCACAATACAGAAATATTTTTGCCCTTATTAGTAAAGGAACATCATAAGATTATTTCAGTATCATAAGCTTAAGATGTCAATTAAAACAAAGATGGATCTCCATATAAAACAAGAAATTCTTATATAAAAAACAGGAAATTAAAAAGTTTCTAATCAGTGTGACAGACATATAAACTAGCAACACAAAATAAGAGGAGAACATATATCTTTACCTTGACTTTCTCATTATTCTTGTTTTCAATGCCATATATTTCTTGCAATAAATAACTAAGCCCATGAACAAACTGTTTCTGTTTAAGAGGCTTTACTACATAGCATCCATCCAAAGAGCTTCGCTCAATAAGGGCAAATGTCATATGTGCATGCATGGAGTTCTCTGCAAAAAGAAAACAACAAATAATCAATTCCCTTAATAACAGTAACCTAAAGCAATCTTTGTAACATAATGAAAAAGTCTTCACCGAAACATAAGTACCTCTTACCTATGTGATTAATAAATAGAGGACATTCAAGTTTTTTCTATAAATACAGGATTTATTTTCATTGAGTGGTGTGAAAATAAATATTTCATAAGTGGCAGTAACCACAAGTGGAATATAATAAATTTCATACCACAAGATGAAATTAAATCCTGTATTGATAGAAAAAAGTGGAATTTTCTGTTTATAATATACTTTTTCTCTTTTTTTAACATTGTGAATAGGAAGAATTCCCTATAATTTTGTGTATTGGCTGAATTTAGAAGAAAGTAGTCTGGCAAGACACCTGCGATATACGGAAAATATGTTTCACTGCAGTATAAAATAAATCTTCACAGTGAAAATAGGGAAAATAAAAATATGCATTTTATTTCATCAATTTTTTTCAATACCGTATTTCATTTATAATTATATAATAAAATGTTATCTTCTCACCATCATCCTCAGCTATACACTGTATTACTACTGGTATTTCCTCTTTATCTGCTGTATACTGTAACTGAAAATAATGGAAAACATTTAAAAATAATGACATAATAAATAGTGAAGAAACCAGACCATCATCAGACCACACAAAATTGTATATGCTGGGCAATGGTTGCATGCTTTTATTCAGTTACCCCACATCAGACTTAAGTTTAAATAATTTGGAACATAAAACGTTTTACAGACCTTAAAGACACATAATTATAATAATCTAAATTTATATAACTATTACTAACTACAGTCCTGTTTAGAATTCCAAATTCAATTACAGAAGATCACCTTATACCATATTGATTTCATATCATTCCTGGTTATTTTTTATGCTAGCATCTTCTCCATGTTATTTTGTGTGATGAACATAATTATGATGTTAATAGTCAGTAAAAAATTGAAATTATGATGAGAATATTAATTGTAATAGTATAAGATAAGAGTATCAAATCCTGTGAACACCTGTATCAAATCCTGTGAACACCAGGCAAGATAAAATCATAGAGATAATGCTATGACTGCAACTATTACAAAAATAATGTGTGCCTGAAATAATGCATGGTGGGGCACCTGAGGTCTTTCTTTACCAGTAAAAATTGGAAAGTCATCAAATGAACTCATTGCGTATGTGCAACATAAAATCCAATCAGAAAAAGGGAAGCTAATGAAAAGCATGTACAATAAAGTGTCATCATTTTAGTACTGGACTCTTATGTATTAAGTACAATTGAACACTAGTTGTCATAGGAATGTTAAAAAATAAGAATTCTATTTTCATATTTACCGAACAAAAAAATAAATCTCAAAATTTATTTCCAATTCCTTCAAAAAAAAATTTCAATATTTAAAATACCTCCTCATCTGTGAACCTTGACGGGTCTATTATATATGATGATTGTTGAAATAACTGAGACGCCCCTCTTTTATAATGAAATGTCTCGGACGCTGTGCTTGGATCTCTTGGATGATAACTGTAACATAGCAAATAGCATAAAAAATTATAAAAAAGTCAAAAATTAATTTTATAAGTCTAAAACTTAATGAAATAATAGTAAATGAAATAAACATTTACAAAGTGATTAGTCATAATGTACATTTTAGTATAATATTGGTAAATCTATGTCTCCATGGAAACCACATGTATTTGCTAAGAAAATATTTGATGTATAAAACTGAGCATGTATACTGTAAATTGCTTTTGGTCCTTTTCCTTAATGTAAACCAAACCTGTATATTTTGTTTACGTCACTTCTTTGAGGAGGTCATTATAGAGCGTGACTTTGTATCATGTTTGTTTATCTAGAAAGTGAGTATAACCTGAACTATACTAATATGAATCAGAGATAGTATGAACTTATGAAGTTATGACCGTGTTCACATTACAAAGTTCTTATATACATGTATTTTACTGACAGTCCTGTACACTTAAAGATCCTGTATGTTGTAACAACACTTAAGTGAAATTTCATATATGTACATAATTATTCTTCTAAAGTAAAACAATTTCCAAACATCTAAAATTTGTTAAATATGGACTGCAAATGTTTATACACATTATAAGTAATCATTAAAATATATGCATTTGTTTTTTATTGAAAAATTTGGCTAAAATTTTATCCACATTGTACTTACCTCCCTTTGTTTACAAATTACATGAAATGTAAATTCTGTAATAATATTACTCTTTACAATAATGCTTTTTGGATCTTCAACCACCCATCTCTAATATTAACATAATACCCTACAAGTAATTTATAATGGTACATTTAATTGATATACAATCCTAACTATGAGTGTTTCATATTGTGTACCTGATTTGTCCATTAGCTATCTCCTCTGTACTAAATAAACTGATCTTGATTGAACATTTAACATCACAATCAAATGTAAACTCGAGGTTATATTTGTTGTTTAAAGTTTCGTCCCTCTCATCCGCCTTCAACTTCTCCACTTCAGGAATCCTGAGAAAATTAATCAACATTCACATAAAATATTTAAAGTATATTATACATATTGTTATTGCAGAACTGTTCATTGTTTAATTAATGAAGAGATTTCCATGAAACTAAATGTTAAGATTAAGCAATATACAGTATAGAGACAAGTAATAAACAACTTGACATGAGTCTATAGGACACTGATACCCAGGCCACTTCATTTCCCTTTTACAGTAACATATTTACACACTTATGTATTTTTCATAAAGGACAATTGGTTATATTATTGTCAATAAGTTATAACTGTAATATAATAATATACTATATAACAAGAGTATAACTCTAAAAAGTATTGTTTTCATGATGATGCCCCTTGTCAAACAATTGCATCTTGTCAAGATAAACAAGTTATTGTAAGTTTCATGTTGTTCACTTTTAAATGTTTAAGTAATAGGGCTATATTAAAGTTTTTACATTAAACCAATGATGACGAAAAAGATGATGACACCCCACAGCATGCATAATAGCCTGATGTTTTCTTTGAAACAGAAAAACTAAAATAGTACAATGTATAATAACTAATAAAGTTACAAACCTATAACTGAGGAAACTCAGACCTCAAAATGTTTAGGGGTAATATACTGGCCATGGACAATGTCTCTACCAAGTAACATAAACCATGGCTCATAAATTCCTTATGAAGTTATTGACAAGGAAAGGGTTTTACAATAAGTGCCAATGTGACTTCACCGACCTCCAGAAGTCATCTACTGTCCAAGTCACATAAACCATGGCTCATTCCTTATCAATGTATTGTTCAGACAAGGATTTATCATTAAATGTCTAGGTGACCTTCACCTTTGACCTTATAATCAATAGAGGTCATATACTGAAACCAAGATAATTAAACCACAAATAATTCTTCTCAAGTTACTGAACAGACAAGATGGTCAGACAGATGGAAAATGCCATTACAGAAGAATGCTCCTCTCCTTTTAAGCAGAGTATAAAATGTCTTTGCAACAATAAATATCATAGTAACGATAGTCAATATCTATTAGAAAATAGTAATCAAGGATGTTTTTTTATTCAAACAGACAACCTGAAAAAAAATTGTTCACTGTTTACAAGACTATGATACTTACCTAACAAGTCTAAGCGTATCTTTCCTTATATTTACAAGACTTTTCAATGTTTTTGTTGGCTCGTTACCAGAGGCTGGTGGGTAGGGGAACTGCAGCAAAAATCATTCTAGTCTTAGAAATAATTTATATACTAGTCAGTTTACTTTAACATTTCTAAAAGATCAGGAGATAATCTTTGAAGTGATATTCTGAAATTTATTTACTATATTTAGAAGAACCTAAGAATAATTTATATATTGTTAAAATTATCTTAGAACTTGTGTTTGGATTTTCTTACAATTGAAACCATGTATTACATATACAATATTTAACAACTTTCTGTATTAAAATTTACATTAATTGTTTTTGTAAAATGCTCATGGAAACTGATTATTATTTTTACTTACTGGAATAGGTTTACATCCAAGAAAGTTTAAGTCAGTATTCTCTCCAAACAGATACGATTCTGGCTGTGACATATCAAACCTTTCTCCACCCATAATAAAATGAGAACCAAAATAGTTACCTGAAATAAGAGAATGAGAATGAATAAATATCATTTGAGTATAAATATATCACATACCAACATCATGTAAATAAATTAGAACAGAAATGAACATTTATATTGGAATGTTAGTTTATATTACCAACTTAAATACCTGTTTGAATAAGTTCACAAGTTATCTCCCATAACTTCTCAAAACTAGATTAACACATAATAATCTCACTCTTTAATGTTGATGATAACAAATTGAAAAATATCCTGTTCATAGCTTATGTTACTGCAACAATTTTCATTTGCACATGTCATAATTTTAACATAATATTTAACAAGCAGTTTTGGTTTTCAGTAATGTGTCAAAGTTCTACAGTATTGATCCATATATAACACAACAACTGGAGACATAAGGCTTTATTTATATGTGCCGTAAAATTTTCCAATTTTGGAAAAAAGGTTATTGTGAAATTTGCCAATTTAGAACAAGAGCTGTCGGTAGGACAGCAACGCTCGACTATTCTTAGTGCTTGATAGTAAAACAAGAACTGTCGGAGGACAGTAACGCTCGACTATTCGAAAATTTGTCACAAGGGTGTTTCATTGAGTATAATAATGGTTACCTATATGAATACATAAAATTGTCCGAAAAAGTACAAACCCTTCAAGTTTCAATACATTCCCTTCAGTAGCTACGGAGATACAAGCTTACACACTAAAACTTAACCAAGAATTTATGAATCGAAAAAGGGCCATAATTATGCGAAAAAGTAAATCAGAGTTATGGGACTTGTGCCAATCATCTTAGATAATCACAGACAACAAGAGTGTGAAGTTTCAATCCATTCCCTTCAGTAGTAATGGAGATACCAGCTTACACGCAAAAACTTAACCAAGAATTTCTAAGTCAAAAAAGGGGCATAATTGTGCAAAAAAGCAAATCAGAGTTATGGGACTTGTGCCAATCATCTTAGATAATCACAGAGACCAAGTGTGTGAAGTTTCAATCCATTCCCTTCAGTAGTTATGGAGATACCAGCTTACATACAAAAACTTAACCAAGAATTTCTAAGTCAAAAAAGGGGCATAATTATGAAAAAAAGCAAATCAGAGTTATAGGACTTGTGCCAATCATCTTAGATAATCACAGAGAACAAGTGTGTGAAGTTTCAATCCATTCCCTTCAGTAGTTATGGAGATACCAGCTTACATACAAAAACTTAACCAAGAATTTCTAAGTCAAAAAAGGGGCATAATTATGTAAAAAAGCAAATCAGAGTTATAGGACTAGTGCCAATCATCTTAGATAATCACAGAGAACAAGTGTGTGAAGTTTCAATCCATTCCCTTCAGTAGTTATGGAGATACCAGCTTACACGCAAAAACTTAACCAAGAATTTCTAAGTCAAAAAAGGGGCATAATTATGTAAAAAAGCAAATCAGAGTTATGGGACTTGTGCCAATCATCTTAGATAATCACAGACAACAAGTGTTTGAAGTTTCAATCCATTCCCTTCAGTAGTTATGGAGATACCAGCTTACACGCAAAAACTTAACCAAGAATTTCTCAGTCGAAAAAGGGGCATAATTATGTAAAAAAGCAAATCAGAGTTATGGGACTTGTGCCAATCATCTTAGATAATCACAGAGAACAAGTGTTTGAAGTTTCAATCCATTCCCTTCAGTAGTTATGGAGATACTAGCTTACACGCAAAAACTTAACCAAGAATTTCTAAGTCAAAAAAGGGGCATAATTATGTAAAAAAGCAAATCAGAGTTATGGGACTTGTGCCAATCATCTTAGATAATCACAGAGAACAAGTGTGTGAAGTTTCAATCCATTCCCTTCAGTAGTTATGGAGATACCAGCTTACATACAAAAACTTAACCAAGAATTTCTAAGTCAAAAAAGGGGCATAATTATGTAAAAAAGCAAATCAGAGTTATGGGACTTGTGCCAATCATCTTAGATAATCACAGAGAACAAGTGTGTGAAGTTTCAATCCATTCCCTTCAGTAGTTATGGAGATACCAGCTTACATACAAAAACTTAACCACAGGGACGCCGACGCCGACAAATGGGTGACTGCATTAGCTCGATTATTCTGCGAATAGTCGAGCTAAAAAAATGCTTGATACAATTACCTCCTCCTGTTTACAGGTTGGGGTAATGATGGTGAACAAGTGTGCAAAGTTTCAAAGCCATATGTCAATGGACTTTGAAAATATTTGAACTATTACAAAAACTTTAACGTAAATTCTAAGTCGAAAAAGGGGCATAATTCTGTCAAAATGCTTGATACAGTTACCTCCTCCTGTCTACAGGTTGGGGTAATGATGGTGAACAAGTGTGCAAAGTTTCAAAGCCATATGTCAATGGACTTTGAAAATATTTGAACTATTACAAAAACTTTAACATAAGTGGTGACTACAATAGCTCTACTTATTCTTATTGAATAGTCGAGCTAAAAATATGCTAGCATTTAACGTGTTACAATTGTTAAATAAATCTAAATAAATCTTACTTAAACTGTTCAGCTTTTTCTGTCATAACAAATACAAGGGCAGGCTAAAATGTGTACGAATGTGAAACTGCTATCAATTAAAAATCCTGTTTTTATTCACAAAACATGAATATATTCTGTAAGCTAGGCTATTTCGTGACACCAAAATTGAAAATGCGTTACTTTTTTCAAATTGCTGACTTCTAGATTGGGAATATTTTTTTGGGGATTGGGAAACAAGAGGGCCATGATGGCCCTGAGGTCGCTCACCTGTATATAGGCCCCCGGAGCGAGGCCAGTTTAAACTCAAGGGGCTTATTTGAACAAACTTGGAAGACATCCATTAGAAATTGTTTCATGATGTTAAGTTTTTACTATACATATATAATGAAAAACAATGACCCCCCCCCCTGGCAGGGCTAATTTTAACCCAAGGGCTTTTATTTGAACAAACTTGGTAGACACCTATAAGATGTTTCATGCTTAACATCTAAGCTCTAGCTCATTGGGTTTTTTAAAAGAAGATTTTTTAAGTTTTTACTATACACATATAGTTAAAAACAATGGCAACCCTGGGGCGGGGCCAGTTTTGACCCCCCCGGGCTTTTATTTGAACAAACTTTGTAGACACTTAGTAGAAGATGTTTCATGCTTAATATCTAAACAGTAGCTATTTGGGTTTTTTCAAAGAAGATTTTTAAGTTTTTGCTATACACATATAAGGAAAATCAATGACCCCCTGGGCGGGGCCAATTTTGACCCTAGGGCTTTTATTTGAACAAACTTTGTAGACACTCACTAGAAGATGTTCCATGCTTAATATCTAAACTGTAGCTATTTTCGTTTTTTAAAAAGAAGATTTTTTAAGTTTTTGCTATACACATTATGACATATAAGGAAAATCAATGACCCCCTGGGCGGGGCCAATATTGACCCCAGGGCTTTTATTTGAACAAACTTGGTAGACACCCATTAGAACATGTTTCATGCTAAATATCTTAGCTCTAGCTCTTTGAGTTCTTTAAAAGAAGATTTTTTTAAGTTTTTACTATATGCATATAGGGAAAATCAATGACCCCCTGGGGCGGGGCCAATTTTGACCCCAGGCCTTTTGTTTGAACAACCTTGGTAAACACTCATGAAAACAGAAAAGATGTTTCATGCTAAATATCTTAGCTCTAGCTCTTTGGGTTCTTTAAAAGAAGATTTTTAAGTTTTTACTATATGCATATAGGGAAAATCAATGACCCCCTGGGGCGGGGCCAATTTTGACCCCAGGGCTTTTATTTGAACAAACTTGGTAGACACTCATGAGAAGATGTTTCATGCTAAATATCTTAGCTCTAGCTCTTTGGGTTCTTTAAAAGAAGATTTTTTAAGTTTTTACTATATGCATATAGGGAAAATCAATGACCCCCTGGGGCGGGGCCAATTTTGACCCCAGGGCATTTATTTGAACAAACTTGGTAGACACTCACTAGAAGATGTTATATGCCAAATATCTAAGCTCTAGCTCTTTGGGTTTTTTAAAAGAAGATATTTAAAGTTTTTTCTTTCGGTTGCCATGGCAACCAGAGTTCTGCATGGAATTAAATTCTTTGAACAATTTTTAAAGGTGACCACCAAAGGAACATTCCTGTGAAGTTTGGATGAAATTGGCTTGGTGGTTTATGAGGAGATGTCATTTAAAGTAAAAGTTTACGGACGGACGCCGGACGGACGGACGCCGGATGAAAAGCGATCACAAAAGCTCACCCTGTCACTTTGTGACAGGTGAGCTAAAAAACCATAATTTGGTTGGGGAATGGGGCCCATATTTGGACCTATGGGATAGGGGAAAAAAGGCCTGAATTTCTTTGTACAGGGCCAGCAAAATCTGATTTTGTCTTACTTGTCCGTTTTTATGTGAAGCATTTTTTTACTTATCCGTATGATATTTATATAGTAAATTCTTGAAAATTTTCAGTTGTTTATACAGGTCGTGGGACAACCTGGGCAATATGGACAATTGATATTGCCGGCCCTGTTGTATATGATAAAAATTCAGGGCAGTAACAGAGGCCAGTCAGTGTTTAAAGGGTACTATCTGGACATAACAATGAGATGCAAATTCCCTTTTTGTATTGATGGTGATCATGGTTCCCATATAAAGTTTTGTTGAAATCAATCCAGCAGATGCAAAGAAATAGCGATATTGCTCAATATGCATACTAAAACTAATTAAGAGCTATAACTCTGTGTTTAAGAGTCTGACAGGAGCAAAGGAATGATATGCGCATCTCGTCTTAGTATTGAAGGTTCCAATAAAGTTTCATTGAATTCCTGCAAGAAGTTGTAGAGATTTAGCATAGAAACGATTTTTGCTGTAAATACATAATGCATTACTAATCAAGGGCCATAACTCTGTGTTGAAAGGTCTGACCTAAACGAGGCAAGGATATACGCATCTCCTCTTTGTATTGATGGTTCCCATAAAGTTTCATTGAATTCCTGCCAGTGGTTGCAGAAAGATAGCACGAAAGTGATTACTACTCTTTATGCATATTGCATAAAGTTCTAATTAAAAAGAAAACAATATGCACATCTCCGAGCTTGGTATTGAAGGTTCCCAGAAAGTTTCATTGAATTCCTGCCAGTAGTAGTGTTCAGAGCAATAGCATGGAAATGATTATTTCTCTTCATGCATAGTGCATAACTAAAGAAGGGCCAAAACTCTGTGTTGAAGGGTCGGACGTGTTCCCATAAAGTTTCGTTGAATTCTAGCCAGTAGAAGTTTACAGAGAACTACAAGCAACCAAGATTTTGATGGACGAATGGAAAGATAACGCCAAAATAATATCCCCTCCTGATTCCATCGGAGGTGGATAAAAAGCTTTTGAAGCATAAAATAATTCTTGCTGTCAGTTTGATAGTTCATCGACACTGTTGTAAAAAAATCAGAAATTTATGGATTATATAGGTATTGGCAGATTAACTAACTGTGTATTCTTTCTATCTTCTGATCTTAAGCCAGTGATTTCATAATCATACGCTTAAATAGTAAGGGCATTCTTTTTTCGTGAATATTTTGTATTTTTATTGTAGAAAAGTACTTTTATATTATATTAACATACCAGATTTTGGGGGATATTTATAGGCATTGTTGGATGCTACAACTAGAACTTCTACATCACCGTTTCTTCTTCCAAGTGTACTTGAAAAAGCACCCATGATTTGGTTATCAAGTGATTTTCTTTCTTATTCCAAGCCAATAAGACTAAAGGAAAGCTTTCTTTAAATAAAATGAACCATTTCTTTTCTCAGTTTTACTATAATTCGTCCATTACAGTTAACGTTTTGCACTTCCGTGTGAATCGTCATCACTTCTTGTGTATTGATAATTTGATCTGAGCAAGTGCCCGTGACGTAGACATCATTGTGAATTTCGTCGTTTTTTTCTTAATTTCTCAGACATCTGCGCAAATAACTTCAATAAGACATTTGGTAGATACTTATTGACAATTTACATAGGCTTTCTAGACGTGTTAACATTTCCTTTTGCGTATTTTCAAAACAAAAACTTCGATCGCTTACAAGGAAGAAATACAAATCGTTCCGAATCAAACTTTGAAACCCCGCCCTTGTTGTTATGTTAGAGCCAATGAAATCCGATGAATTTATTATTGTTGACTGTCAATCAAGTGCACGCTTTACTTCCTGTCAAAAATATCAACACACAGAGAAGGGGGAGACATTAAAATTTACCCCAAACAAATGAAAATAATGGACGGATTAAAGCAGCAAGTTATGATGAACCAATTTATGTTTGCAACAGGATGTCAAATAGATCAAGCAAAACACTTTCTAGTCGCTTCTAAATGGCAGTTCGAGGTAAGTGATCTTTGCATGTTTTTTCTGAAAACCAAGATGGCGCGTGTTTACATTTTCATTGATTATAAACAATGATATTGTTTCAAATGAAATACGCAAATACTGAAGTTATCAAGTCTTTGTGACAGTCAGAATTTTTTTATTTTTCAGAGTGCTCTTAGTATGTTCTTCCAAGAATCATCAGTACCGACTTGTCGAACGTGTAATGGGAATCATGCTAGTGGAAATTATTCGGTATGTTTGTCCTCCATCTTGATGACATCATTCAAAAACTTGTGTTCAGAAAATTTTATTATTTGCTGTTAGCGCCTGCAAATATATATGATATTTATCATTATTTACTTTTAAAAATTTAAATGTTTTTTGTTTTTGGGATTTTAAATAGGTAAAGTTTTTCTTTAAGCCCGGGTTTTTGCCGTTTTTTTGTCGTAGGGTTGTGACCTACATTTAAAACGCATGCTTGCCCTCCCTGTTAACGAAACAAAACTAGACAAATTTATGGGCGTAGGGTTTCGGGCCCCCATTTTAAATTTACGCAGTAAAAAGCAAACACGTCATGATTTGAATTTTATTACTAGCGGTTTCGGTTTTAAGTGATGTTTCGTGGTTCTATTTTATTATTGATCCATATTATAAATAGATCTTACCTTTATCAGTGTTTATGCAATTATTTGAAAATGGTATCTATTGTAAACAAACCTGACCTTTGATTAGTGAGGTCATTGGTTTTCAAAATAACAAAGAATTATGGTTCGGGTTTTTTATAAATATAAGTTATTTAGTTATGATCACATTGGAGTGATTATATATCAACATTCATTTACAACAGTCATCAAATTAGAACATAATGATGAATGAATTAACTTAAGGCTTATTATGGACAAAGGTGCTAGAATTTTTTTAGCTTAAGGCTTATTATGGACAAAGGTGCTAGAATTTTTTTATGATTTTTGTTATATTGACTATAACAAAAACAATCTATTTTAAATTTTTTAATATATGGATATAATATTACATGAATAACAAGATTAAATATATTTTAGGTCAAATCAATGCTACTAGCACCATTGATTATGAAAAGCAAGGATATTTTTTCCAATCTATGAAAAAAAAGTGAAATGAATTGTATGTATAGTCCAGGGCATTTTTCAGCTGTTTTGGGCTAAATTTGGAAAACTGTTAAGCATTCCAGTAAGTTTCAGAAATTTAGGAGTTAAAATTTTAACAGGACAGTTTGTAATAATTCATTTTTTATTTCAGTTATGTGCACCTGCAAATACTCCTGCCACACCTCCAAATTTCCCAGATGCTCTCATGGCCCTGTCTAAATTATCAACAGCAGAAAAGTTCAGTTCATCTCCATATGCTACATCACCAACACAAGTTGCACATTCACCCCATGCTATGGAAGTTGAAGCCCAGAGATAAATATGTTACGCATGGCAGGCATTTATTCAGTGAAAAATATGTTAAGTGCACACAAGTGAAAGTTCTGTGACAAGCACTCAGTTGAGTTTTTCTCTGATTTCCTTCATAGATTTAAGATTTTCAGAGATGCAATTAGACATAAATTGCATTTGGGAAAAACAATGAGTGGATAGGGTTTGAAAGTTGTGTACATGTATGTAGGTCCAGTTGATATTTGGATAAGTTTTTTCTCAGAGTTTTGTTTCCTGGAGAACTTGTGTTTGTTTGTATTTTTGTCACTTGTCTGTAAATCTTGTTTGGTACTGAAGTTTTGCATTAATGTATTTGGCAGGTTTAACCTGTATCATTAATTTGAATTCAAACATAACTAGTTGGTTTACTCTAAGGTGGATAAAAAGCAATAATGAACAAACCTATTTTTTGATCTTCTGACCTGGGTAAAATAACATATTTGACTGCATGTTTAAAAGAAGTACAATGAACATTTTAACTATTTAAGATATAATTTGCTTGAGTCATTTGTGGACAGGTGCATTTTTATGTATGAAAACTGGCTTCAGGTAAACTTTAGAGCAGCAAATCATGTTAAAATGTGATGTATTTACTCAGGTTTATTTTTCACTGTATCTCAAGCACATGTCTGCCTCTCTTGATATATATACATATATAAATACATACAAACTCATCAAAACTTAAGAAGGGGTCAGGGCCCATGACTTGTGTTAACTTACCATTTTTTGGCCTTGACCTCTCATCTGAATTGAATGAATGATTGATGTTTACATTTTTGTCATTTGAATTAGGTAATTAAACTGCCATTCATTGATTCAAGTGACAGTTACTCCCCCTTTTTATATTTTTCTTTTGTATTTTTCATATAATATTTTATGACCCATTTTCCATTTATATACCCATTATAACAGTGCTGGACTAGTTAATAGAATTGAGTTTAATACATTGTCATTAAATCACATCATTAAGGACAAAACAAATAGCAATGGCATACTTCACCATTGACTTGTATACATTGTCTCTTTGAATATATTATTCATTAATCATGTGTAAATAGTTGTTAATCTTGTTTTTTTTTTCATCATTTATTTCAATTTTGTCTTCATCCCAGACATATATTATATATAAATCACTGGCAACTAACGATTTCTGTAGTGTCTATAAGTAATTACCATTTAAACATGTTTTATTGATGTTTTGTAATTTCTTCTCTTTATTTTGTACAGAATATGGTATATAAATTATGTGGTAATGTAGCTTTGTTAAAAACCTTAAATATGATGTGAAGTCAGTAAACTATGATGTAAAAAAAATGAAAAAAAAAAGTCCTAAATATAGGATATTTATTGTTAAACTTGTCTAGAGTTTTATTTTCATCCATATTGATAAGTGGATAATAAGTTGATAATTTCCTGTAAACACGCCCAAGCTTATGTATAATTTGTATATCGTAATGAAAAGCCTCAAATGATGAGATACAAAGTGTGATCTGATTGGGTGGTTAAGGAATTTAAATAAGAATATAAATGATAGTTGATTGTCAGATTTATATCTGTGACAATAAGAATTTATGCAAGTTTTACAATAGGTTATATTCATTTCACAATTATCGAGCATATGAAACAAGTTTTAAATAAATTTGTAGAATTCATACATGTGCTGAAGGTACTAGTACTACTACTGATTTATCATCAATCGGATGAACAGTCGTAGATCTATTGTATATTTATTGCCTATTGCTAATGAGGTAAATCTCAAGCCTGTCTAGTATTTTAGTTTATAAGGGAAGTGTGTAACTATGATCATTATAGATAAACACTTTAACAGGAAGTTTTATCAGTTACATGCTTGAACTTGCAAAACCTACAATCTACTTGTTTCAACATTAATATATGAACTTTATATAACATGTTGAACAATTAAGTGATGATTATTTATGTATTATCTGACGTCACCGGTGGCAATGTATTGGGTCAAGTTACAATGGTCACATTTATGTATTAAATATACATACATTTGTGAACGTTAAACATGTCTATTTTTATCATCCGAAAGGTAAATGTATTTAATGGCAGGAAAAAATGTAGCACAGCGTATTTATAACCCGGAAATATTATTTGATAAGTGAAAAAAGGTTTTGTAATTCCATAAACATTTAAGGATTTCTTAGTTGTTTCTTTAAAAATTAGAATATAGTTGTCAAAACACTGACATGTTAATAATAAGCAGTGTTTTGTACACAAACACCTTGCCTTAGATAAATAGGAGAACAGTCGCTTATTGTAATTGTATACGTGAACTTCTGGCCATTTGTTCATTGATCTACTATGTTAACAAACAAGCCAAACAGTGTATTTATTGAACCGATAGGGTAAAATTAAGGTCATGTCATTGTGCCTGCGAAAACGTCTATTAATACAACGTTTTAAGGTTTAACATGTATTAAATTGTCCTCTATGATTATAGAATTCGTAAACGGGTATAAAGCTTTCATTATATTACATTTGTAAACAACACGGTAAAGTTACGTAAAAGGCCTTTGCTGTGATTTTGAAACCATCTATTATTGGTTTATGTAATTTTAATATGAAAGAACTAAAGATTACCACCCAGCGAGTTTTGGTACTGAGTTTAAGGAAAATAATCTGGCTTTATTGAAGACAAAATTCTCCACAGCAAGTGCTCAAATGTTTTATGTATTTTTTTAAATATAAAATAAGGTTAAGTAAGTATAGGGTTGTTATATAGATAAGAAATCACGCCAGTAGGTCATGTTGACAATGGCATTACAGGCAGCCAGGTAGCGGGCATTGAACTGGTTCTTAAAAGCGAAAGTGAATGTACAAAATATAGCAAAGTCACGTGGACAATATTTAACCTTTGTTGTTAATAAATGAAACAAAAACGTTTAAACAATAGAAAAAAGTTGAGTATTTCGCCAGATTAATTGTAGCACAATTTCCTGATTTTTTAATCCTATTAAATTTTTATTTAGGCAATAGTTAATCACAATTTTGCATAGTTCATTTCGGTTCCTCAATTGTCGCAAAATCAGTGTGTCATTTTTTAAAGACATACTATGCTCATCCTTAAGTAAAATATTTAATCACAGAAATTCATTGAAATCATGAAATTCTTATCGAAAATTTCTAATTTGATATGTATGGGAAGCTGCGTTCCCTATTACAGGTTAAGTAAAGTTGGTCTCTTCTTGACAGTTTTTTAATGACACTTTATATTCATATTGTGACCACCTACATGTATAGTGTAGAATTTTAGACATATCTATTTTGTGTGAAGTCAATGCATGTTTATCTTATAGTTACAAAGAGACTGTGTATCAATTAACAATATTTTCTAATATCAAATTTGAGCATAGTATATCTTTAATTCGCTGTTCAAGTGTGGTAATCTTATCCAATCTTTCTTTATTACTAAAGTTTTGATGAGATAATATGTAATGTATAAAGACAACAGAAATATGGGCGGGGTCATGAAACGTGTCTCTATAACAGAGATTGGACCCTAGCCAAGCGTTTGTTTGTACAAGTTATTTTGATGTTTACGCATTCCATTAAATAAATAAAATATTAAAAAGATAAATAAAATATCAACAGGAATTTAGAACATTAACGGAGTATGACTTGCTAGGGATCTTAGAACCTTATAGGGCAAACATAGTCCCGTTAATTTCGAATTAATAGATACGTTCATTATATCACAGACAGCTTGGATGCATCAACTATGATCGAACATTTATAATAAAGGGTAAAAACAATTTTACACACACGGGGTGAGAAAAATGTGCAGCCCGACCGGGACTGGAACCCGGGACCCTCGCGGTGCTATCGACTGAGCTATCCGGCCGCTTACACATCTCTCTTATAGTGAACAGTTCTGAACCGTGTGTTTATTTCAAATTTAGACAGTTTTCAATCCGATTCCTTGTCTTTTGGTCCCTTTAATTATTAGCAGCTACCTGTCTATCTTTTAATGCGGTCATTATTATTTTATATAAATATGTCTAAATAGCAAACAGTGCAGACCATGATCAGACAGCAAGGTCGTGCTGCTAATCTTGTTGCATCCGTAGAACCATTATGATTCTGTGGTGAAAAGGATTCCTTATATATGAATCGAAAACAAATTGCGCCGAAGCGTTCATGAGTTTAGAATCTGTTAAATGATTATTAATACTAATTAATTTAAGTAAGTACTGTACTATAGAATTTGAATAAAGAGACGTTAGATGACACGAGGGCAGATCAGCTGAAACACATACGAGTTCATATGTTAATTATGTTAGCTATATTTATAGTAACTGGAAATGCGAATTAATTTGAAATAAATACGTGCACTTTTCCAATTTTCTGTAGCGTGTACTTTCGATTTCAGCAAATAATGTAAATCATAATCATTGAATGTTTGCACGGCGTAGTAACATCGAATGAAATGTAGGTAAGAATGATGAAAATATCGTACAGTTTGACTGTGTTCCAAATTACTCTTCTATTTCCGATGATTTAAATATATACGTCTAGTCGGTTACTAGGCCAGTCTATACTATCTACACTAGGGATGAAAGTCGGTCAAGTGTGTTATTTTCATTCAACTATGAATAAACATGTTTACGTACGTATTACAATTTGGCCACACAACGCTTGATAACGCTAATGAATCCAGTTTTAAATAGGAGATGCATGTCTAGTGTGGTCACCGACGGAGACAATTACATATCACAGATACACAATATCCCTTAAACTTCTTTTAAAATTGTATCTTTTATTCACAGCTAGGTCTCTATGAATATTCTTAATAAAATCAAACCTCGGAATGTAATTATTTGCCAGTTATGCCTAAAAAAATGCAATCATGTCTAATAATTTTTGGTATCTTGACACACTCATTTGCCATATACATGTAGATAAATTATCTTTTCTTCTTTTGATATATTGTCATTTGGTATAATTAAAGCGAACTTGTATTCTGTATGGAAATCAAAATGCATGTACAACTTTGTTTACATTTTGATAACTTTTACGACACATTACTGCGCATTAATTTATTGCAACTTTCTTCAGCTGTTTAATATAAACATTTAAAGACCCGTTAAGCCTCAGCATTGCAAACATTTTTAACCGGGTTTTCCGAAGGAAAAAACTGGTTATTAGATTGAGGTATGTCGGCGGGCGGGCGGACGGGCGGGCGTAAACAATTTCTTCTGTGCGCAACTCCTACATTTCTCAATAGATTTTGACCAAACTTTCACAAAACCTTTGTCATCAAGTGCCCTGGCGCATATTGTCGGGGTTTTGTGATTGGATAATATTTGACCTAATTATGGCCCTTTGTTTTTTTTCCTTATATAGAATATATAGTGAAAAATTCTTCTGTGCGCAACTCCTCCTACATTTCTCAATGGATTTTGACCAAACTTTCACAGAAGCTTTGTAATTAAGTGCCCTTGCACATATTGTCAGGGTTTTGTGATTGGATAATATTTGACCTAATTATGGCCCTTTGTTTTTTTTCCTTATATAGAATATATAGTGAACAATTCTTCTGTGCGCAACTCCTCCTACATTTCTCAATGTATTTTGACCAAACTTTCACAGAAGCTTTGTTATCAAGTGCCCATTGCGCATATGGTCGGGGTTTTGGGATTGGATAATATTTGACCTTATTATTGCCCTTTGTTTTTTTTCGTTATATAGAATATTTAGTGAACAATTTCTTCTGTGCGCAACTCCCCCAACATTTCTCAATAGATTTTGACCAAACTTTCACAGAATCTTTGTAATTAAGTTCTCTTGCACATATTGTCAGGGTTTTGTGATTGGATAATATTTGACCTAATTATGGCCCTTTGTTTTTTTATATATAGAATATATAGTGAAAAATTCTTCTGTGCGCAATTCCTCCTACATTTCTCAATGTATTTTGACAAAACTTTCACAGAAGCTTTGTTATCAAGTGCCCATTGCGCATATTGCCGGGGTTTTGTGATTGGATAATATTTGACCTAATTATAGCCCTTTGTTTATTTCCTTATACAGAATATATAATGAACAATTTCTTCTGTGTTCAACTCCTACATTTCTCAATGGATTTTGTTCTAACTTTCACAGAAGCTTTGTCATCAAGTGCCCTGTCGCATAGTGTCGGGGTTTTGTGATTGGATAATATTTGACCTAATTATGGCCCTTTGTTTTTTTCCCTTATACAGAATATATAGTGAACACTTCTTCTGTGTGCAATTCCTCCAACATTATTCATGATTTACATTGCACATAGTTACATTGTTTGTTACTTGTATTTGTATTTCAACTACAACATATTTATCTACAATGGTGA